CCAAACTGGGAATCTCTCGTGTCCACTTTTTGTTTTTGTTTTGTTTTTTGGGGGGGGTGGACTAAAAGTATGTCTGCTGACTTGTCTGTGTTGACTCTAGGATCTAGGGTCGCCCAGCGAGAAGATCTGGCCCGGTTACAGCGAGCTGCCCGCTGTGAAGAAGATGACTTTCACAGAGTACCCCTACAACAACCTGCGAAAGCGCTTTGGAGCACTGCTGTCAGACCAGGGCTTTGACCTCATGAACAAGTAGGATTTTTAGAGACTTTTTTTACTCTTGCATAAGAAACATAACTCCTTTCACTGCACTGCAGTCAGGTTGTAGTATTCCAGCTATTGTCTGTTTTCATGTGTCTGTAGATTCTGTGTTTTCAAAAGATACTAAAGAGGTTATAAACCATAAAGACACCATTTGAAAAAAAGGTCAAATACATTATAAATTAGCCATTTTTAAGGAGTAGAGAATAAGTCCCATAGACTTATGTAAATATTTGATGGCAAATTTTCAGTGTTGAGAGAACACATATCACTGGTATACAGTGATGAAGAGCATGTATTAGGTAACAATCAGCACGGCTCCTGCAGTGGAAATTGCCTTACTTGGACGAACCCTTTTCTACCCTGTCAAATTCTGTTACTCTTTCCACAGCTTTTTATTTAGTCGGTGCACTTCTGGCAAGCTTTCTTAAAACATGACAGCAGTAGTGGATATATCCCAGCAGGAGTCCAGTTCCATCCCCCTTGTTCCGTTTCACACACACGCACTCACCATGGTGACGCTCCACAGTACAGGAAAATGTTTTAGAAAACACACATTTAATAGGGAAAATCAGTGATGGCTTCATAATTCTTTCTCTCACATTCCAAAGATCAGCTTTGTTCTGCACTGCGCAGATGAGCTTCTCAACTGTCCTCTCAGGTCTTTAACCAGCCACAGAAACTTTTCTCTACACCTGTAAATGATAAAACCATGCTGGTCAGCTAGCCCCCAGCTGCAGAGGATGGTAACAACATGTTCGCTGTGCTGCTGTGTGAGGAACCACAATTTGGTGGAAATTTGGTTCATTTCCAAAATTGCTGAAACTTCAGCTGTCAGTGTACAACACGTAGGGAAGTGCTGTTAAAAAAGCTTCACAACTGAGCAGTACAGAGAAACTTTGGAGATGTATCTGGCAGGTTGACATTGCAGAGCAATGGGTTTTTGGTTGTTGTTTGCAATATCACACCTCTCCTGTGTGTGAAAGCATTTGAAGACCCAGATTCAGTGTCTAACTGAAGAAGGTTTCAATTCACAACTCTTTAACCTGTTATACGTTTACCATTTCAACATGTAGTAGTTAAGAGATCCCAATTTTAATCCTCCTAGAGAGCCAGAATACTGCCTGTTTTCTGTCCTGTTTCTATCCTGTTAGATAATGAGTCTCCATTACCTGGTGTCCCATGCATAAATAGGACTGTAGTCCTCAAATGAAAAGCAGCTGGGTCCTCAGTCAAGAAACGGAACAAGCTTACAGGACAGGAAGAGTGCACATTTTTGTAATTCCATAACAAAATGGTGCATTGGACACAAGTAGCAGGTTTTGTCTTATGTTGCTAGTATAGTGCTCTTGTCTTCTAGGCCTGGTGTCTGTCTAATCCCAGCCATTAATCCTCCTGTAGATATCCTCTCACGTTAAATTAGAGATCATTTGTTTTGTAAAATCTTTTATGTTTAATGTCTGCACTCACTTACGGAGGGTTCCCCTCAGACACAGTCGGAGTCTGTGTTGCTCCTGTCATGTATAATTACGACTGTTTGCAGAAACTCTCTGGCCTTTGGCATCAGCACCACACCTTGTGTTCAGACTGTGTCACTACAGGGCCTGTTATACACTGTTATACACTAAACACTAAACATTTTTGTTCTTTGACTATGTAAGAGTAACTTTGCAGAATAATCAGACTGATCCTTGTTAATATTATTTGGGGGCGTTGGAGATTAGGTGGGTAGTCCTTCTGTAGACAACCACATTATGAATATGATTTTTTTTGACATCATTTAGAGTAGAAAAAGTAGGGAAAACAACGGTGAAATGGAGCTTTTCAAGCATTTTGATGCCAGTTATATGCCAGCGTTACCCAGTGTGACTGTGACCCAATAAATTAAAAGTCAGCGTGTAATCTTCAAATGCTCGTATCAGACACAACCATCAGCAGGACTTTGATTACACAGAAACCATTAATTAGCTGTTAGGCGCTGTTAACTTACAGCAACCTGTAAAGCTGCGTCAATCCCATCCATGCATGCGTCATTCTGCTGGCCATTTCTCGTCACTATTTTTTGGCCATGGCACAGAAAGATCGCTCCTTCATGGTTAATCCTACCTACAGAGCCCTGATTGGTTTTCCAACTGTGGAACTGGCCTTCATTGAGCTAAAAGGCAGACCCGTTTGAATAGCAGAGAAAAAAAAACTTGAGGTGAGAGCAGGTCTGGCAGTTTTGTCCACTCAAGAAGCCTGAGTTCTCCGAGGCAGTTTGGCATCTCTGATGAAACGCTGCTAAAACATAAGTTTAAAATTATTATTGATTGTTTTCCAGGTTCCTCACCTACTGCCCCAGTAAGAGGATTTCATCAGATGAGGCTCTCAAACATGAGTACTTCAGGGAGTCTCCTCTCCCCATTGACTCCTCGATGTTCCCCACCTGGCCAGCTAAGAGCGAGCAGCAGCGGGTGAAGCGAGGCACCAGTCCTCGTCCACCCGAGGGAGGCCTGGGCTACAGTCACCTGGTAAGAGCATTAGGCCTGACTTTTCTCCATTACACACAGCTACCAGGCTTTCTGAACGCTGCCTGTGTTAAATAGATTACAGACCTACAGGCTTTTGCTTTGTGTCCGCGTATTTCCTCCTTGTGTTTTCCATGATGAGCACTTTTTAGTTCCTAATGTTTTCAGCAGTGGTCCGGCTCACCCAGCAGCTTAAGGCCACTACTGAGATTTTTCATTGGAATTAAGTGTTGGTATTTGCTGCCTTACACGCCAATTAGACCATGACAAGTGTATTTTTGTCTCACTTTTCTTCTCGTCAGGGTGGGAAAAAATGTGTGCTGGAGCTTGTGATTAAGTATTTGGAGGGTAATAATAATAGTCTTAATACAAACTGTTAGTTGTAATCAAATCCCTCATTAAATTCAGGTTAGGGGTTTCCAAAGGTAACTAGAGTAATAAAATAATATTGGTCAGTTTTGTAATAAGCATGTAAGAAGTGCAAGATTTCAAAAGTTTTTGTTAATGCTACAAGTTGTGAATGTTTCCATTGTCTCTGTAGGGCGATGATGACCTGAGAGATACTGGCTTCCACCTGACAACCAGCTATCAGGGGGCATCTGCAGTCGGTCCAGGATTCAGCCTCAAGTTCTGAGCCTCAAGCTGCAGGACGCCCAGCTGGAAAACAGAAAAAGATCCAGCAAAGACTCGTGGGACTTCTTGTTTTGTTTTGTTTTTTGTTTGGAACCGGATGGTATCACTGGTTTACAGCTTTAGAGCAGATCAGTATCTGATCATTTACAACTGTTACCACATAGTCAAGACTGTCTCACAGCAAGACTGATGGCTCAAACCTGTTGAATTTCCACTCTTCCTGTTTGTTTTTTTGTGTTTTTTTTATTAAGCCATTTAACTAACTGAAATGTGACCTTTGTAGCTCTTAAAGAGGAGAAACAACCATAAATCTATTCAAAAGTGTTTCTCTCATGTTTGACTTTTATTTTCCCTTTTATATTTCATGAGAGAGGACCAGGTTTTATAAATGGTTGGTATTTCCTGGCTGCCTGAGCTACTGTATAATGATGCAGCATTTGCTGTGTGTTCCATCCAGCATAATGTTAAAATTTAAATGGGAATGTCAGCTCTCCTGATGACAGGGAACTGATGTTTTTGCTAGAAATAAAGTTTGAAACTTTGTTTTGTCTGCCTTTTTTCCTATATTTATAAACTCTGTCCAAGCTATGCAAACACAACCGCACACTGCCAAAGGAGGGGGAAAAAAATGAAGGGAAGTCGAGCCTAAAAGAAATCCAGCCTTCAAACCAGCTTGGTAGCTGCTGTCCAAAAGTGATGTCATTCCTTGTGCTGCACACTTTGTCTCAGTACTTTGTTCTTTCAGGGGGAAAAAAGAGGCCCCGGCTTGCTTTGCTTTTGTTTTTAAATGACTCTGACTTCAGAATGAAACCAATAAATTCTTTGATTTCGAGCCAAAGAAAAATAAACAGTGCAGCTCGGGTCCCTGCACGACTGGAACAGGTACTGAAAAAAGGCCCCTCCTGCCCTGGGGCTCGCAGAGCCAGCACTAAATGGAAATATTCATTAATCAATTTTATCTATCCCCTGGACCCACCGTAGGCCTTTCTGCAGATTATTACACCTGATGTGTTGAATAAGCTTGGACAGAGAGCTGCGAGTGGAACTGACTGCTAAGTCCCTGGAGGCAGACTCTTGGCCTCAGCGTGCGACTAGTAAAGTAAGCTAGACGTCTGAGGTGTTCCATATGCGGTTTAAGGTCCAAATGGTTCCAAAGGCTGTAGACAACATTGTTTATTCTGGCTTTAGTAGCTTACTTGGGGCAGTGTGTAAATTATTTGAATGCTATGCATCTAAAGCAAGGGCTTCTGTAAGTTTTTCAGGTCCATTAAAAAAAAAAGAGACATTTGGGACATTTTGTAGAAGCTATGGTGAGTTCTCCCAACAGTACTAATATCTTCTGGGTTTCTGTGCAACTAATTAGTCCCTATTTTTCAGAGGAATCCCGTGGGTGGCCTTGGACTCCTTCAGCTGCCTTAGCTGAAAGAGCTTTGAAGAAGTCCAGGCTTGATGAGTCCAGACTGACGTCATCGTCCCGAACAGCTGATGAGAGCTGCACTGAACTTTCATCACCAAATAAAATGCAAACCACAGCATCTGCCACAAACAGCTTTTTACAGTCAGGTAGTATTTTCCACAAAAAAATATCTGTCACAGAGCATTTATTCTTTGCACAGATGTAAACGCATTTACACAAAGACGGTCAACAATTTTACGTGGATACAGGAAGAACGTTTAAAAAACAAAAAATACTAGTATGTGCCCTAGTGAGTGAGGTCTCCTGGTGACCATCTGTGAATATGTCCTGTTCAGTGTGCAGAGGAGCTGGGCTGTTCTGCTTCAGAAGCGCACGCGTACCCTCCACGAGTAGTTAGTGAGAATTTTGTTCTTCTTCTTAACGATGCAGGTGTACGTGCCTTCGTTGATGGCGTTGGCCACTATAGTAATGTGGTCGTCTTTCAGTGAGATGTAGTTTGGGTGAGAGAACTCCAGCAGCTCCCCGTCCTTGTACCAGCTGAAACAGGAGTCGCACGTTAGAGACGGCGCTCAGCAACTGCAATACTGTAGCATCACTGTAGCCAGGTAAACTGATAACATATTGGAGGGAGAGAGAGAGAGAGACACTCACTGTACTTTGCCTTTCTTTGATGCTATTTTCTTCCCGCAACGAAATGTCAGTTTCTTGCCCTCGACCACCAGCTTGTGTTTGGTCCTTGGGGGAGCCGGGGTGGGAGCTACGGTGGGGAAAGGGAATTCTGAAGAGGATAGAAAAGAAAACACTGGTGAGCTGCTGCACCACAACAGGAAATGCAAAGGTCATAACTTGGTGTTCTTAACCATAAAATGATCCTCTTAAGATACACATGTGCAGTGTGACAACTTGCAAGATGTGGGCTAATTTAAACGATAATACAACGTTTGGGTTGAATATTAGTAATTTAATCACTCTAACCTGTAGCTGTGTTTCCATTCATATAGCCGGTGTGTGGCTCTTGGCTGACTTTATCTAACTTAGTCAGTGTGGCTGTATGAAATAAATGTTTCCCACCCGTGATCAAAGAGGAACTAAAAGATTTGTGATAACCATAAACCTCAGTTTCTTTCACTGTCTCCAGCTGTCACAGCCTTTCCTCACACAGCAGTGCCTGAAAGGAAAATGTGAACTAGGTGCAACAGTTTATTGAAATTATGCAATCATACATGGAAATACATTATATACGGCAAAAACAGAGTTTGTGTGCAATTCTAGTGAGCTTGAAAGTCATTATTGTTATGACCACCTTTATTCTTCCACACAGCTTGAACTCTCTTGTCATTTCTTTAAGTAGTCATCAGGAATAGTTCTCCAGGGTTCTTAAAGGGCATTCAAAGCTCTTCTTTGGATTTTGGCTGCCTTTTGTCAAGATAATCCCACACTGCTTCAATAATGTCGAGGTCCGAGATATGCCAAGTTTTTGTCTAATAGCTCTTTGGGAATCATCTTGTTGGTGCAAAAATACGATTCCATGCCTGTCAAATGGTGTTATCTTTGGTATTTTTCATAGATTTGACTAAAGAAATGGAAAAGATGATGCTTTTTTTTTTACATACTGGTAGTAATTCTAAGATTGTCTGTTATGTGTAGACACAACACTGATTCATCCCTTGAGTTAAGCATCTTTTTATGATTGAATGATTGATAGGTCAGTCTTATGAGACTTAACAAACAAACAAACGAGTGAAAAAGCAGCCAATGTCCAAAGAGAAGCTGTGAAAAATCTTCAGAAAGCCTGGCGAACCATTCATCAAGAGAACTTTTAAAAAAAAGTACGAAAGTCTTGTTTAGTTAAAAAATTAAGAAATTAAATTATCCTGCTTTCTGCTTTCCACTAGATTTTGGATGCACATAGTGTCATTTGTACTCCATATTTTTTAAGGTTTAGTTACCTATTAGTTATTGTTTTAATTTGCTGAAACGCTATATTAATGTAGAATTACTGTAGGTAAAACTACCCGAGAGTACATAAGTAAATAATATCCTCTCTAGCAGCAACATTAAAGAGAAACACAGATGAATGAATGCATGTTCCTACCTGATGAGTCATTTTCCTTTAGTACTTTAAAGATATTCTGTGTGGGCACTACGCAGACTTTTGATATAATACTCTATCTGGGCGTCGGGCTGCACATGAGAGATTTTTATCAGTATTTTGTACGCCAGGTTTCTTCACTCTGTTTATTTATTTTTCACCAAATATATAGATTTCTTGATTTCAGCCCCCGTGCGAACCCCATGTTTTGTTTGTTTTTAAATCCCAGAAACGCCCATGCTTTCACAAACGCTTCGCCAAAATGCTGATTACTGTCAAAATCATTGATAGCAGCGTTATCACGTCAGACATCCATGCTGCTAACCTGCTGGCGGTGTGCCTGTGTTATCAGTGTAATCTCTCCCATCTGGTGACAAGCGCAACAGGCCGCCTCGTGATTAACTCAGAGTCTGCCTAAAAAACAGTCGCTCTCGTTAATGCTGCAAAAATCCAAATTGACCTTGTGTGTCTCTAACCCTCAAGCCACAGTCTGAAATTCCAGCGGTTTGGAGTCACTCAGGAATTTTCCACAGCCGTACAACGTCTCCCAATCAGCAATGAGGAACAGATTACTGTGAGCCAGGAATTGTATCCTCTTGCCTCTCTCCACACTGTCCCCCTGTTGCTGACAAAAAAATCTCAGAAAGCCACAGTCTGTGGGGCTGTGATAGTTAAAACTGAGCCACTTCTTGTTGTGCAAAAAAAAAAGGAGATCTCTGCACCACAGCATCCTACAATAAACCTACAGAGGCAGTTGTTTGATGAGTAACACTTGTGTAAAGCAGCCCTCACTGAGCGAGCAATCAACAGGTAGCAGCCCTGCTGTGTGAGCGTTCTGAAACGCTGCCACTCTCCAGAAATAAAACACAGACTCTCCCAGCGCCAAGTGCAATCTCCCTACAAATCAGACCCTTGAAAACCTCCAGCGCAGCTCTGCATGGCTGGACCTGTTGGCTCCCGTTGCTCCATTGGCAAACGGTTCACAGCAGCTCCTTGTACTACTCAATTGAGAGAAAACTTTCTCTGTCTTTTTTTTCCTTCCCCCTGGACTCCTGCTGCCGTTGCCACTGCTGCTTCTTACCGTAACAGAAATCACAGCTGGAGGGGCAGTGCTTCTGCATCAGTCTGCGTTTGCTCTCGCAGTAGCCTTTCCGAGCCCAGGCCGGACAGATAAATAGACGATCCAAACATCCTGGAGGAAGGGGGAGAGATGAAGTGAGGAGGAGGGTCAGATAGCAGCTCTTAGTCAGGCAAAAGAATTGGAACACCTCCAACCCTCCAAACACAAACACACAATCTGCTTTTTGTGCCAGTGAAAATGACTCGCTATGATACACGCTAAAGACCACTCGTGAGTATTTTGTACAGTATTCATTAATGTTTCGCTTTCAGTCATCAAACGCAAACATTGTGCTCTACATTTTGATTGGTTTTGATCAGAAGCGCACAGGAATATTCCTTTACAGGAATACTCCTTTACAGGAATACTCCTTTACAGAAATATCTAGATGCTTCTAATACCAGCATCAGACTACATTCTGAGAAAGCGTCCAATCCGGGCAATGCCTTAAATCATCCCAGTGGGATGTTGGACAGCGACCTATGCAGTTTGAAGGCCAGTTGGAGTCTAGACCCAATTCGTCATCTCATCTGACAGCGGCAGCATCAATCTTGTTTTCCTTCGGCCATGTTTAACAACAACGTTAAGGAATTCTTGAACCTGTCAAACTGCCCGAGGGAATGAATTCTCCTGCAGGTTCTTCTGTCAGGCTGTTGAGAGGCTTCCCAGATGCACCGTCAGTTTTCTGCCCTTGTGAAATACCAGTCGACACTCAATGCTCATTTTCGTTCCTGATGCTGCCATACGTGTCATCAGCCTCATCATGTGTCTTGATCCCAGCTCTTTATGGGCCTCATTCATTCAATCAAGAGGCTTTGGGATGCCTTTCAACGTGTCATCTAGACCACATAAGTCCCCCCAAATCCTCAGATGTGTTATGAAAGTACAAAAAGAAGACCTTTAATGTTTGTGTAAGAGAAAACATAAGGACTGTGAACAAACCGTAGAGCCGGTGCAAACCCCACACCTCATCCTGTGTGATGAGCTTGCGCCCTGTCAGAGTTGCATTCAGGTGCATCAAAGCTTTGGGATCCATGGAGTGCATGAGTCCCAGGACGTGACCGATTTCGTGAGCCGCCACGTGGACGAGATCCGTCAGCCAAACCCCTGCAACAGAGACAGCTCAGCTCGGTGTCTGCTGCATTCATTACTTCACGCATGAAATATTAAAAGTTTCAGCAAACACAATAAAGATGCGTGCCTTTCTTCCAGCTGAAGCGCATGTTTCCCAGAATCCAATATTCGTGGTCGTCAAAGTGGATCTCGCCTGTTGGCGGGAAGAACGCGTGAGCCAGTTCTCCTGTGATGCCATCGAAACAATGGTGCAAGTGGGACTGCCAACAGTCTGTGTGGTTGACTGGATAGAAGCCTGCCGAAACAGAGAGAAATAGCTCAGAGCCAAGGAGGGAATCCCTCCCTCCATTATTCCTGCACCGTGGAGACTGGAGTGGGGAGATGATGGATCACAAAAGACAAACTCAGAGGATGACGACCATTCCTCTCACTCACTCTGAGAATTTATGCAGGACTCTCGAGTTTGCACCCAAAGGGGGCAGATAAAGCGGAATTTAGGGACTTTTGCCATGAGCTGATATGTCTGGAAGTTGTTAGACATTTTTTTTCATTAAGAATTATGAAACGTGTTGAATATAAGCTTGGTAATATCTTTGCAGTGCTGCGATTTAATGATGCAAAGAAATTACGGCGACGACAGCAGGGAGAAACAGAAAAGTCTGGCACTCAGAACTAACCAAGCAACATCTTTTGAGGGAGAGATGCACCCACCGATCTTGATGTCCGCCTCTTGGTCGGCCGGCACCTCTCTGAAGGTGAACGGCGAGACGTCGCTCCACATGCCAAAAGCCTTGGCGATTCCCCGACGTGTATCGCTGGCGTTCATCAAGTTTGTAGGGAAGGAGAGCAACCTGCTCGGAAACAACAGCATGGTGGGGTTAATAGTTGTCCCTCAACACATTCCTCTACCGCTGAGGAATCTGCCAAAACACAATACCTACTGTTCAGACACAAAAGAATTCCCACATTCCTCAGCACAGCTCTGTTTTAGTGAGACCTGATAGTTTCAAATATCACAGTTAGACAGTAACTTAATAAATTGTTGATACCATCCATTTTACTAGTGCGAAAATGACTTAAATTAAGCTGTTTTTTAAAAAAAAGTTTGTCTACCACCAACCAACGGTTTTTGGAGCTCCTCTAGCTCAATCTAGTCTTCCCGTTAGCAAATCATTTTACAGCTCCAAGACGAATAAAGTTACTGGATCTTCTCCTGACAGTTAACACAGCTCAATCCAACTCTTTGGAAGCCAAGCAACTGTGGCGTGACTTTCAGAGTCCCCTATGTGCTCACTATTTTACAGTGTTCACAGTCAGATGATAGTTCAGACCACTTTTTGGTGCTTCGACAAACTTTTGGTGGACAAGGTTCAGTGCAAACAGTGACTTAAGATTAGAAAATGTAGCAGCTGACCCACATCAACAGTAGTTATAGTGCACGATTGTTTGAAATCTGGAGCCTCGGTCTCTCATCTCGGTTTCTTTTAGCACTAATATTCGCCCTCCCTTTGCCTAATTTGTATTGCTTTTGTGCATCGCAGGCTGTAAATAAATACTTGTATGTGAGCTTGAACTTGTCCCATTTGAGCTTCTCCGGGGTGAGGGTGTAGCGCTTGTTCCTGGAGAGGTGAAGTACTTGTGACCGGGCCTCTTTGCGGATCCCGATGAGCAGCACAGTGGTGTGAGCTTCTTCCTTGGACAAAGAGAAACTTTGAATGAATGACCTCACACTGTGACAGGAGTAACTGAATCCTAAAGACTCATTTGGCTTTCCTAAGAATTCAATGAGATTCAACTGGTCACATTAGTGAATATTATATTTTCAACTTTCCATCTCAGGAAAGAAGTAAGAAAAAAGTTGCATTAAGTTTGATACTTTTCACCAGTATGTTGAGTCTGATATCTCTTCGGGGGGATGACAGCTGGAGTCTGGACTCTGTTATAACTCTGAAATGCTGCCTATGGGTGCTTTGAGTTTTAATGCTTTCATAAATATTCTGCGGCTGATGTTGAGTTGCAGAGATATTCCATAATAGTGATCACACCTCGCAATAAATCTATAACTTTCTATGGAAATGGGTTTGAGCAATAAATCCGCTTTTCGGCACTAGAAGAGGGGCTGCGATTTCTCAGTTGAGGAGCCCATTCCTGTGCTTGACAACAGGAATGTTTCTCGCACTGCCTGATGGCTTTAATGGGGTTTTAAGGAGGCAGACATTTAAAAAGAGAAACTGCTGAGGGTACACAACTGGCAGTCATTGGGAGACACGTGCACAGCACACGCTTTTGAAGGCGCTGGGCGAATATAGGCTTAAACCTGACTTTGTTGAAAAGTACCACTTGGTCTGTTATACCTGGCTCTTTACAAGAGCCTGACTGATGAGCAGGAATACCGTGTGTCAGGTGAAATGCAAGGGGATGAACAAGATTTTATAGTAGAGAGCGGAGCAAAGTGAAAGCTTTCACTATGCTTCAGACTAAGTGTTTCTTCTGTGGTCTGACAACAAGATTAGAAATGTCCTTTCAGGGTCTAACATGCAGCCAACACGAGGCTATGGGTCATGCTCGCCAAGTCTCTTTGGGTGTGAAACTAACCAGTGTCTCCATGTGACTGCAATCATCGTCTGAGTGAAAAACAGAGAGCAAGACACCACAAATTCCTAAGAGCATTGGGATTTTCACGAGCATTCAGAACATGGATGCGCTGATTAAAAATGGCTAAAGGTTCAAATAAAAAGGTCAGATTATGCACAAGTTATCCCCGTGAGCCATTCAGTTTCAGACAATTTTTTCTTCTCTTGCCTCTCTGTGATGTCATTACACGTGGATATGTTTAATATGGTCATATCAGGCACTCTGCTCTGATTGTGACCACCGAAGCCCCAAACCATTGGCTGTTTGCATCATCTGCTTGTGAGGGGGAGCCAATCAGAGGAAAACCTTGCTTTTACAGGGGTACGGTCCTACATGAGAGGCCGCACCAACAAAGTCCTTCTAGGAGCAAGTTTTGCATTTTGGCCATCTCAAAATCTCTCCAAGCAGTTATTTGCGATTATTTTTAATTTACCTTAAACTTCAGAAGTCACTTGGATATAAAGCTGGATTCTACTGTAAAACCACAACCCCAGGATTCTTTGAGTACCATGCCTCTTTTTTTAATAATATCTCTGACACTAAAGCCCAGTACAAATATAACTTTCTTTTACAAATATAAGTTTCTTGCTGAGGAAAAACACTGAAGATGGAGAGAAAATATCAAAGTCTCTCCCTTCATTTTAGAATCTACGCCCAGTCCTCCAGTTCCTGTTCCTGCTTCACCCAGTCAAGACAAACAGATGCAGTACTTCCTTCATTTCCTTTCCAATATAGTACTTTGGGTGGCCAGACTGTCCCACACCGTTATTAAACTTCACGATCTCTTGTGGTTTGGTGTTAATTATAACATTTCACTACCAGATTAAAGGCATAGGTCACTGTTTTATACAAAAGTTGCTTTTCCCGACCTCAGCTGACATGCTGGAGTCATGCGTTCAGTGACTTATCAGGTGTTAAAGCCAGCGCGTTTCTTAATATGTCACGTCTTGTTATATTCACCACAAAGCTCATCTCGCATGTTTGCCACAAATAAAGGTGAACCGCAAACCCACTAGTCCTCTAGACTAAACCTCAGAGCCGGCGGTGAGAGCTGACAGAGGGCCAAACATCTGAGGACAAATCCCACAGGGATCGTTTGGGGAGTCTGGAAGAGTTTAACCTCGTTTCCAGAAATTTCTAAACAAGGGATTATGATTTTCATCTGAACCTCAGAAACTTTGAGGGTTCTAGTCAACAAAAGCGATTTTCTGTACACAAATCAAAACACAGACTGTCTGTCGTACTTTTTGTCAACACGCACATATTCATGTTAAAATGAAACAGAACGAGGCTGAACATTGTCAAAACAAATATTGTTAATCTCGTTTAGTAATATAGAAATAATAAGTATGTTACAGTGGATAATTGCCGATTCATTTCAGTATAAATCAATGAGAAATGCTCTTTGGTTGTTCTGTTACTTAACTTCATGAAGTTGTGTAATCCCCACCAGCGGGCTTCTTGACTGACACATAATGAGAGCGTGTGGCAAAGGCAGTGACATAAAGCGATCCCTCAGGCTCTATGTCACAGCGGGTGGGTGGCACTGAGTGAAATGTGTGGAGAAACACATTTATCCAACTCGCTGAAGATATTACTGCACAGAGACCCATTCCACAGACATAACCTAATAGCAGCATTCATCTAACTTCACATAATTGAATCTGATGCCTATTACCATCACTCACTGATTTCATGTGAGGATTTCCAGCTAAAAACATATTTGAAGATCCAGACGAATGGCTTGAAATTGCACGGATTCTTGCATAATGTAACAGTGAAAGAAAATGATGTGCATCGTTCCTAAATGATCTGGTATTTTCCTGATACCTGCTGCTCTGTTTTACTGATTGTCAAGTGGGCACAGCCAGCACAACTAATAATAAAGCAGATAAATAATCTTTGTGGATTTGTGGTAAATATATGGTGCGTTGCTTTTACCTTGCCTCTTACTCTAAATATAAAACAGCGTTTCATTGCTGGGTTCACCACTACTGCCACTTTCACCATGAACTTTCAATAAGCCTTACTTTTCTACCCCCGTATGTAGTCTCCTGTTACATAAACAGTTTTGCAAATGGAGCAGAATTCTGAATGGAGTTTGGCGTTATGTGACTTCAAAAGGTAACCAGCATCTTAATAACTTCATAAGCACAACTATGTGCCGGACTCTGCAGCTGCAGGAAAAAAGTGGTCACAGCATACCTCTAACCTCCAGGTGGGAAACGCTGTGGTCTGCTGCATCCCTGCAAGCAGAAAGCTGAGCAGCACAGCAGCCAGCAGAGGTGCGAAGCCCCAGTCGCCGTTTCGTAAACTTCTGCCACTCTGACAGCTCACCATGGCTGCCATAGCGCACCTCTAGGGGAGACAAAAACAAGAAGAATCCCTTCTGCAAAAGACTGCTTCACCATCTATTCCAGTGAATGCTACTGCGTGGCCATAACACGCATCGCTGCTGGTGGGTCACTACTTGGGGAGCTTGTGGTCGCTGTGCGCAGCAGGCAGCGCAGTCCAGCCCCGCGGACCGACCGGGTTGTGAAAGCAGTGCAGACTGCATCAGCTCTGCTCGCCTTTCTTCCGCACAGAGCGCCTGCCAGCGGGCTGGTTTCACGTTACTGTAGACAGGGCAGGGGGTCAGTGTCGAGACGACCTAATGAAAACCAAACGTCCGTCAAACCACTTGTTGCAACCGCCGGAGATGCAGCCAAAGCAGAGTCATAGGCTGATTTTTGATTTTTTGGACACGATTATTTTTTGCACGTTCATGTAACGCTGCTGAGTTTATTCTTCTCCTCCTTACAGCGTGGCAGATATTTTTAGGTCAGAATAAAATCAGGGCTTTATTTAGTCGGCTGTTTTGTTTACATTACTCTATAATTATTTTAAAAAAATTTACAGCTGGCATGTCCAGGAAGAAGAGTATGATATGAACAATGAATGTACCACAGATAATAGATTTTACTTGTACTTTTCCAGCTCCAGAGGTGACACTAATATCGTGTACATGGTGAAACTTGAGGGGGTATGGACAAATAAGTATATACTTCTGCCTACTCCTTTTCAAACAAATTTTGTAATGATTGTGAAGGCACATGTTTGAAATGTTTGAAATAAAAATGAACTGAACTGAGGTGGTCATAAAAATATTGATGATACCAACCTGCTATTGGTACTGGATCGATACTAGTGCGATAGGATCAATATTTTGTTTCTATTTTTCAAGTTCAGTATGGCAGGGCAGTGCCCATCTGAGCCTGATAAACTTTGTCCAGCTGGGATGTGGAGAATCTGCAGCACTTGGATTGAAGAGTTGAGCTTTTGTGAGGGAGCCACAGGAAGTGGGTTAACTAAGCCACCCTCCTCTGTACTATCCACCTCCAGATACTGTCCAAAGCTGGGCACAGTGACACAGGCAGCCCTTTATGGTTCTGGTTTGTGCTTATCTAATCCATTAACATGCAATCAGTCCAGCTAGCTGCAGGGACATCAACTGAATACTCTAGACCTTTGGCCTCAGACAAAACTGTGTCCCTGGACTCAGAGAAGAGAGAGCCCTGCCATGCAACAGCAGTTTTTCCTGACACTTTCTCCAAAAGTGTGACCTTTTTTTCCAAGATGGAGCACTGGAGCAGGCAACATGCAGGCAAATGTCCAGGCACACATTGTGCTTGTCTTCGTCATGCAAAGAAACCAAACCGGTGAGGACAAGTGCAAACAAAACTACTGCAATCTTAAAATCTCTCGAAGGCACAGTTTCCAGAGGCGATCTGCAAGTCCTTCACTTATCACGTTTGTGTTTTTTAGAAAGGAAAAAAATGTGCTCGCTAGACTGAATTTGTATCAGGCCTCTCTGCATTGGGGGTTTATTTGTGTCCAGTTTTAAGGAAAGATCTGTTTGTTGGAACCTTTCACACTTTGCTTCAGAATAGTGTTACTCTGTCACTCTCCGGTCGACCTCACTGCTGCTTCGTTTCTCTCTCTGCTCATCAGCAACTTCTGCTGATTCCCCTTTGTTAACACCAAAGCAGAAAAACTGCAGATTAATTTTTTTCTAGTACACCCTTGGGTGAAGCCAACAACAAAATGTCCAGGCACATTTCGTGCTTGTCCTTGTCATGCAAAGAAACCGGGATGTTCATCACTGAGATTTTTTTTATATTCGAAAAGTCCAAAACCCACTTTTTTTCCACCCCAAGTTTGGAAGTCTTCCTAGTTTATCAACTGAACTTGTTGTCTGTTCTTCCTTTTTCAGCCAGACTCAAAATGCATAGTTGATTCCCAAAAATCATCACAAAACACAGACACGCGACATTTTAAATGAACTGTTGTTGTTCAGGCGTTGATTAATGAAAATAAATTCATTTTTTATTTACTTTAGAGGTTCCCATTTAAAGAGATTAAAGATGCCACTAATAGCTTGGTAAACAGTCAGTTTATTACACTGTCAATCTGAGCTGACACAAAATAGCACAGAAGAGTAAATCTGTACAGGTGTTGATTTAGTACTGATGATATTAAATTTTCCCTTTTCATACATAAAGACACTTCCAACCATGTTGCATAAAAGGTGGAAAATGGTGCAGAAAAAATCCACCAAAATGCAGGAAAGGACGTGTCAGAGATTTAAACTTGAGAGAAACCTGCTGCTTCTGGGATGAAAGTCAAACCATAAGCAGTGAGTCAAAAATAAGGTTGAGTCTAATCACAAAAATGTTCCATGAGTTGTTCCCCTACAAGACGTAGTGACACTTTAATGGCAATTTTCATTTGCACCCTCTGTGTGACCCTGTTATGACTCTGTATTTAAATAGCGTAGAGGTATTTCTATCATGTGATCATTTTTGTGGCTTTTGGGCCAAATTTTGTTTGAGTGTCTCTGACATAGTTGGTAAATAGTTGCTTTTTTCCCCGACACACAGTCTGACTGACAGGAAAATTGGTGGAATTTCTCGAATTAATAAATACTTCATAATGTCATGCCAGTTTCAGGGTTCTGGTATTATGCATGCTGACTCGCATGCTTGGCCCCGAGGACACATAAATGATATTTAATGATGATTCTGCCCATGTTTTTCCTTCCCGTGACAAGCCAAGATGCTCTAAAGAAGACAGATCAACAAAAGTAGAAGGTAATCAACATTTTTTCCCTGAACTTAACTTTCAACAAACTAGAAGCATTACTGCAGCCTTAAAATACTTTATCTGTTTGATTTGGTACAGTGACCAAACCCAGAAGTTATTTCATAGAAATGATTCCACTGGATCCTTTTCTAAAGTGATGTAGCTGAATGCACTCCCACATTATTGGTCTTAGATAACCCAGTAGCTGGAGCGACCAATCCATTTTTGTAGTATACATTTGTGTAAAATGTTACAACTTTCTCTCTCTCTCTCTCTTTTTTTTTTTTTACATTTTCTTACCGAGTATATCGTGTGCAGCCCAACTGCTCAAGGGGGGAGATTTTCTTTTTCCCCTGGTCTGATGACCTTCCCCTGAGTTTGTTGTTCTAGTACACCCTTGGGTGAAGCTGGGAAAAGTCCTCAGCCAGCTGACTGTCATCTCTGGCCAGACCTGGCTAATCTTTTTTCCCTTAAATGGCTGGAAGCTAGACCGCTTGAACTCATGCGTCACTCATCCAACCACAAACCACTCTACTTACACACTGATTTTCTTTTTTAAGTAGCTTAACTGTGATTAACTGAGGTGAGTAAATCACTCTTTGTTATATGGCCAAGCCACATGTGATAGTTAGATTTCTTTCCCTGTGTTTGTCAGTTTGTTTGTTTCTTCCAATCATCTGTTTTGGATTGTTTTCATGGCCATGAGCACAAACAGCTTCTTGTGACCTCAGTATGCATATGATAACTATGGCTATAACCACTTTTTCCTTTAAATTGTATATGTCATTGGAGGGTTGACATTTTGCCTGATTACATCATTGTGTGTGTTTGATGATGACATAATAAATATATATACAATACTGTGCTAAAGTCTTGAGCCACCCTCATTTCTTTACATTTTGCTTCCAATGAGTCAGGCCTTCTTGGGATTTTTTAAATGGCCTTGAACAATAGTTCTCCAGGCTTTCTGAAGAACTTTGAGTTGTTGGTTATTTTTGTTGTTGTTGTTGTTGTTTATATTGGGTGCTTTTTCACTTATTTTCAGTCCAGTCCTTGTACCTGACCATTGTCAGAGAAATGGTGTTAAGCCACTTAACACTGACCTATACATCATTCAAGCACACAAAAATGCATCTAGCTCAAGGGGTCAACCAGTGCTGTGTTCACACATAACACAGTTTAGCAAAGAACCATTTTTAAATTGTATCTTTAGGCATTTTATTACCATCTGCTTCTCACAAAGAAAAAAAAACCCAAAACAAAACACAAAAATCTTTTTTTTCTTTCTTTAGTTGAATCTACAAACAATGAAATAACACAGTCTGACAAACATAAAATAGTGTTTTCACCCTAACATGGTGACTCCCAAAGGGCTATTAGCTAAAGAAGTTTCATATCTTGGTTTGATGTCCAGTGTCTCCTTAAATATTTGAGGAAACTGGACAAGTTGGAGGTCTGGAGAGAGGTACAGTGAGTGTCTGCAGCCATCCGTAAAACACGGTGGAGGATCTGTTGCAGTGGGGCTGCATTTCAGCCAGTGGTGCTGGAGATCTTCTTAAAACAGATGGAATTATTAAAAAAGCAGAAAAGTGCTGTCAGATTTTGATCCTCCACCACCATTGATCCGCTATCTGTATTCGGGTTAGCTATATATTTTTTAAGCATAGCAGTGATCATAAACACACTGTCAGTGGAGTAAAAGCATTGACAATGTGTTTGGGAACATCATCAGTCATGGATTGGCCTCCACGGAGCCCGGACCTCAACGCTACTGATGTACTGTGGGATCGTCAAATGAGAGCCAACATCCAAAGAAGAGCTGTGAATGTTCAAGAAGCCTGAACTATTCATGAAGATGATTTAAAGAAATAAATGGAAGACAGTTCAGGCTGCGTTGAAGAACAAAGGTGTTCACATCAAATATTGTCGTTCAAGCTGGATAGAATTTTACAAACACGTTTGTTTGTTTTTTTACGTTTTTGTGCCCTATATTCTGTGTCTTTGCTTATGTTCCAACAACAATTTTCAATTCCCATTTTCCTAACAACATATAAAGACTTTTCCAGTGCTGTATCCATCCACCCGTCCACTTATTTTCTGCCTCTTATCCGGGTTTATATCTAAGAATAAAAAAAGGAGGGCAGAACCTTTTTTACGACGCTTGTTTTCTTCGACCTTTGTACGCGGTTACACTCGTGGCGGAGGAAATGGCACCCGTCTGGTCTCGCAGGCTTTACAGTGGCCAGCCAGTCGGGTACTGTCGAAGCTGACACGTAAGCTTTCTAACTGCCTCCTGCAACACAGAGCTCAGCTTGAGGAGAAATATGGTTTTAAGTGGAGAGAGTGCAGGTGTGTGTGGGATATTGAAAACATAGCAGGTAAGAACTGCTGTCAGACATTTCCTC